CTTTAGGTTTTGTGTTTGAGGAGACACTGATCATTGTATTTCCCCCCCAGACTTACAATGACATGTTGAGGATCTCGTTGGTCTCGGGTCTCCACACACCACGCAGCAGCTGCTCAAAATTGGACATGAGAGCCACTCCAGATCCTGTGAGGATAAAAATAGAAAGGAGGATTCAAAAAAAGTCTATGTTGTGAGTCACTGCTCTTATCTGACTTCAGCTTCTTACACCCATTTTCAACAAGGACACCTGCAGGGCCTCCTTATTGTAACTGGGACAGGAGGCTTTCATGATAAAGAGCCAAAGTATAAATGCGGTTTAACGTTTTGCACAACCTCATCTGTCAGGCTTTGCTTCTTTCTTTCTTTGGCAGGTTCATGTCTGGAAAAGAAGTTAGACCAGAATGAACCCACACCTAACATTTGATACGCAGCTTTTCTAGCTATTGGGCAGCTGTGATTGGATATTACAAAAAATACAAAAAAAAGGAGTTGCTGGAACCTCTTCTTCAGACTGTGCACAGTTTATCTACTAAAATAGTTTCCCGACCCTTTTTAAACACATAATAAATCTCAGGATCCAAAGGTTGGCTCGGAAAGCATGGCTAACCACCGGTTAACCACAAAACACAACCCTGGCTATGATCCTGTTACACTGGACATTTACTCCTGAGTGAATTATTTATCAACAGTGAAAACCACTTGAGCCTGGAGTTTTCAAGGCACAGTTGCCTTGGTGGTAATCCATCCACAGAGGCAAGCACAAGTACAACTAATGCATGTTTAAATCAGGCGGCTGATGATCCAACAGCCACAGTAACAAAGACTGTAGATGCATCGAGTATGTGTATCTATGTATGTGTCACTAAATTAGTACCAAAGAGTTGGCAATTGCCACGACTCACTTACAGACTAGTTTGTCCCTCACAAGCATAATCACCTTTCCATCACAGTGTAAACATTGGTGATTTAGGGACTATACACGCACCAAAAGCCCTGTCACACCAACCTTTGACATATCCAACGATCACCATGATGAAGAAGCCGTGGTGGTAGGCGTGGTGGGCGTGGTGAACCCCTGCGGCGATCTTACGAGTGCGCACAACTTCCTTCAGGGCGACCAACACCAGCTTGATGGGCAAGAAACTCACACATTTGTAGAAGAGGTTCAGCGGGCAGTAAAAGATGAGGTACCTGCAATTGAGATTGACAACCTTTGTGAGTTTATTCCTCAACAAATATAAAACATTACTTTTTTATTCCTGTTACATATAAATCTCCTCCCTGTGAATAAAACAAACGGATAAATCCACTGTGTGCGTTTGGTTTCCTGACCACGCTGCAACTTTAACTCATTATCCTTGATGTCTAATGGAAGAGACAGATCTTTGTATCATAAATGTCATCTTGAAAGTTAAATAAAAACACGAGTGATGAGCAAACTGGTTCTGGGGGTTTTCTCACCAAACAGCTGAGGCCAGCAGGATGTGGCTGTTGTGCTGGAAATAGTCGACGGGGCAGCTTCCAAGCATGATGTCTGCCAGGATGTAACTACCAAAGCAGTAGAGCATGGCGCAGAGCCAGGAGGCCACGGGACTCCTGCGAGAAACTTCCACTGAGCCTGCAACACAGAGGACGAGCTGTCAGAAGGGTGTGAAGATCAAAGCATCACAGCAGCTGGTCAATGAGTGCTCTCAGTGTGCGCATGAAGCTGATGATGATGATGATGATGATGTGTTCTGTGCTTTTATTAAAGAGTAAGATGCTGCGCATTCTTCTGTTTTCTCCAAGATTATACAAACAGAAAAACTTAACAAAATCCTCCAAAACTTAAGCAACTCACCAACTAAAGTAACTATAGGATCGGTCAGGTGATTTATCTACAAACAGTTTATATATTTGATTGGAAGTTAATAGTTTTCTTTAGAGAAAGAGGAAAATTATTCAACTTTGGCGACTCCTGGTGGTGGTAAAAAGAAATACAGTCATTATTTATCCTTTTTTATCTGTTTGTAAATGTAATAAAATGATGTTGATTGATCAGTTGATTGATCTATCCAATGCTTTGCAAAACGTCCTTGACAATAATACTTGTTATTATTGTCAAGTGAGAAAAACGTGGAGGCTGTGTTGGACCACCCCCTGCTCCTCTAAAACACTCAAAGAGTTTTTACCCTCAGTCAATATGAAACAATAACTTTGAGTAAAACACCACTGAAAGGTATAAAATCAAAGGTTTATTTATTCAAATAAAGGAAAATGTACTTAGTATAAACCGAATGCATACCAGTCAAATAAATGTCATGTGAGCAGATTCCTGATTCCTTATGTAAAATGTGCATATAATTAAATTAATTAAAGTCAGCACTTTGGGCAGAATGTTAACTTATTAACTATATTAATCTTTGATCATTTCTGCCAGCTCCTGCAGACCTAACTGTTACCAGCAGCCTGCAAATGCTAATATCAGTGGATCCCGTGTGTCCTGTATCTTTGTGCACACCCAGTTTATCAGTCCAGGTCACGCCCTGATAGTACACATCTTTATCATCAGTCAATGTTGACTCAGGATAACTACAGTCACTTTTGAGTTGACATATGGTTGCTTTGCTTAAGGATACAGACTCGAGCGGCTCTTTGGAATATACTGAATGCATATATCTTAAAAGATCCTACAAAGAAAGCCTGTATGACAAACAGTCATGTTGTGGACTCACGTGTTGTATCCATGTAAGTAACAGCAAGGCAGGCGCCAATTAAACTTTAAAACTCTGCGAGCCGACACTGTCATAAGTTTTCCACATTTTCTAAATCAGTGTTCAGGACGCTGCAGCTAAAAATGTTTCTGCTTCATGTTGTGCTACAGCTGATGAAGCTGGTGAAGCAATGGGACAAAAGCAAAACTTGGTGCCCAATTGATTTCAAAGAAGAAAAGGAAGTTAGACATGGCATGCACGCAGGAGGTGCAACAAGAAAACAGATGCAGCTATAAGTAAGAAATACAAAAGTGGAAAAATTGCAAATGTGTGACCACACAAAAGGTTACAAGTTTTGAGACTGTACGCACATTTCGTGCGGGACAGAGCCTCGACGGCGTTACAGCATTGTTACAGTAAGTCGAGATGAGAGTGCAAATCTCCACCAACAGGTGGGTGGGGGTGTAGCGGTTCAACCGTTCCTCAATTTGAAGGCAACCTGATCCTGAGAAATACTGCCCTATAAATACATCCTGCTCACTGGCCTCTCCTGTATGCAACTTTGACAGGCCACTCATGACCTTTGACCCTACACTTCTCTCTCCTTTCTCCTGTCACATAAACCGAAAAAAGTTCAAAGTTCTGGTGCAATTTTAGGCACAGACGTGTGCAGGATAATTGTGGCCGCAATGTGATATTGTGGGAGCCACAGCAGGACTCATTTGACTGTGAAATTGCATGCATGAAAATAAGGCAAGCTTTACAGTTGAAGGAGGCCTGATTCGTGCTGGCTGGTACTTTCTAACTTTAAAATGCACACAAACTGCAGTCCCTCTGTTTTGGCTGCCTTTTATGTTTTTGCAGTATGTTCCTTTACTCCACACACTACAGTCTTTTGGCCAGTACATCTCGACCCTGTGCCAGCTGGAAGATTCCCTGATCTACCTTATACAGCACACATATAAAACTTTGGTCCCTCAACAACAGACTTTTAACAACATGCTGACTTCACTAAACTTGATAAAAGCATTTATATCGATTAACTTTTTCCAAGTTGTTGGTCTAAAACAGGCCTCCAAGTGGCCTACAGCTGTGCTTATGTGACGAGTGACTCCTCCAGCTGAGGAAAATGTGAGAGATGATGCATTTGTTCTGATC